ACACACACACACATACACAAATGCCCTCAATCACAGGGTTTCGCCATAGATCCAAAAGTGAAGAAGACAACAAGCAAGGGGGGGGTGCGATGTAGAGGAAGGAGGCGGTGCTGTCGAAATGCAGAAATCAGGGACAGGATACAGAAATAAATCTAATACAAAAACTAAAGCACACACTTCTCCTATATCTTATCGACTAAACCTATGGTACCATTCTTTATTCTCTTCATTTTGATCAAGGGAAAATAACTAATAGAATTTGTAAATATGGAGAGGGTAGACCATATTTTCTTGCACAAAGTGGGAATCAGTAAACTGGCTTGTTCTCTGTGTTGAAGACATTATTTATTGATCCTCTGGAATATGTCTTTTGCAGTGACTTAAGGCCTGAGGGAGAGTTTTTTTGTATGTCAAGAAGACTATGAGCGAATGAGAGTGATATTTTTTTTCACTTAACAATTCTCGATGTTGCCTGAGTGTTTTTTGTTACCATATTTTGCAGCTATTGAGTCATTTATATACAGTGTACCTCCCACCTGTTTGTAAGCTTCCCAGGCTTTCACCTGGATTGGTTGATACTGTAACTTGACTGTACACACCCTATTGATAAACTATTTATATTGCATTGTGCATTATCGTGTGTGCCAAATCTCATGAGGGATATACTGTACCGGATAACTTGTTCTCTTTTTTTTTTGTGCTTTATACATTTACTCAGACAGTTCAGTTGTTTTGTTGCCATTTTTAGGGCTCTTTCTTAAAACACTGAAATACCAACTCATGCATGGCAAATATGAAATCATGCATGCACGGCAGAAGTTCTGAAACTCTTGTGTATTCTTGAAGCACCTCGTATACAGCTTTGAATGACAAACCTCGAGAAACAGTCTTAATTCTGCGTTGTACTGTACGATTCACACTGATTTGTACAGTGGCCTAATATCTTGTAATAAAGATTTGACAAAGTACTATTTACTGTTTAGTGTTGTGGTTTACAGTACGGAATGATGTACTTGATGTTGCTTTCTGTCTTTTTTAAACTGTTTTAAAACTGTAGCAAAAACACAAAAATATAGTTTTGTATTGGAGAGATAAAGACAATAGCAGATATAGCTTGAGTGACTTTCGGAGATGTTCCTTGTACAGTTTTTCCCCTGCTGTTAATGGATTGCCTATGTGGATGCCAAGGAAGGTCAAGTCAGCATTTTCCACTGAGAGAAAGCAATGTCCCATTCGTTGGAAAGATCTAATATGAGAGGAAAGAATGTCAACAGGAATATGAAATCTTTACTTTGTCGTGATTTGTTTAAAGGACAGCACAGAGACACTCGGGACAACTGCGCAGCAAACCGCGATTTCATAAAAGTGCTACAGTATTGCAAATGATTCTGTGGGGAAAATGTATACCACTGCTTCCCAATGCAATAAATGTGTTTGCACCTAAAATCTCAGCTCTTCTCTTTAATCAAGTCCTCCCTTTAACTCCATTGCCAGGGATGTAAATGGTGCAGGGGCACAGAGGCGTGAGGAACACTGATGAGACGTGACATTTCCAACTCTGCTGTGGTGACTAAATGATTCATGTTATATGACGAGCCTCTGTCAGCGTACAGCATCTTAAAGCCCCCCCCCACCCCAAGCACCAGGATTTGGACTGAGAACACATATGTGCACACACACATAGGCACACACGTGTCTGCCTCAGCTCCAACTGCAGGCGAGACTCACATATTGCTCGTCTCTCCCTTCCCAGTCTTGACAGACATGAAAGGGACTGCCTGGGCCGGGTACCATGGTAACAGATGCACCTTGCACTCAATGGGTGCTGCCGTGGGTTTTTCGGTGCAGAATAGTCTTCCCCGAGCCTCGGCTTGATACCATCGCTATCTTTAATGGAATGTTCTCCATTCTCTTATCTGTGCCCTTTTCTCTCAAGACCTCCTATTCACTCAGTGGCGTGACCGCATTATCCTGCCAAAATAGTCCCTTCAAAACAGCAGTCAACCATGACGCTCACTGCAGTAACAGCCTATCCCCACACACAGGACGAGAGGATGTTACGTTCATCGTGTGGAGGGAGTGGAACTTTACGATTGTGTGGTTGATCTTGATCCTACGTAAATGTTGCAGTGAAAGCCTCAATGAATTTAATGTGACTTTAGCAGTGACATGCTGCTGCAAACCACGAGAGATGAAAAGAGAATCAAAATGGTCCTGCTGTAAATACCAATGCAGTGAAGCTCATAATGTCCAGCTTTTGTTGAGAATGTTGTCATTTCTTTGCATTTTCATTTTTCCTGTTTTTGTCATAACATCCTCAATTGGTTTTAACTTTTCTTCTTCCCACATCTGATTGTTTTACATCAGACACAGCAGCAAACCAGGCAGTAAGCACATACATGAGATGTATTGAGTAGAATACTGACCATCAGAATGTGTTTAGATTTCTTTGGCGACCAACATTTACAGGGTCACCTTCCAAACTGATGAATTGCAGGAGCATCCCTCTCAACGGGTGTCAAATTATACTGCATCATAGAATCATCACAACACAGTGTCAAACATTTCCCATGTATGAACACAAACACAGAAGCTGAGACACTAAATAAGATCGTTTCTTAACAATGCTTCAAACTTCAACCCAAGAAATGATCCAAGGAGTCCAAAGGGGAGTGGAGAATTTCAGTTTTCTAATCACTTTTGTTCTCTTATTTAGAATCAGCATCAGTCAGAGCCACCCACCTCTGATAAGTGGAATAAAAGCCTTTTAAATACAGAAAAACTGATAAACTGAACAATATATCGCTGTTAGGAAAATATTTATTGAAAAACACCTTTTTGATAAACCTTGTGTTAACCAGTCTGTGGTTATTTTGATTATTTACTGCAAGGTTTTGGAAACAGTTAACTTGTTTCTAAAATATTTTACTCATTTTACTCTATAGACATATGGAGTTTATCCAGTATTCCTGATCTGCAGTCTGTTGTGACATTCTCTGTATTATTTACCACATCACTCTAAATTTCACATAATAGTGTGCATGGTCATTGTCCATTCATTTTCTTCCTCTTCTCTGAGGTGGGGTCGTGGTGGCGACATGCTCAGCAGTGTGTTCTAGATGTTTCTTTGCTCAGCAATGCTTTCCAACTCTTCTTAGGGAATCCCGAGGCGTTCCCAGGCCAGATGGGATATATATAATCCCTGCAGTGAGTCCTGCATCTACCCTTGGGGGTCTCCTCTCAATGGGTGTGCCCGGAAAACCTCCAATAGAAGGCATCCAGGAGGTGTCCCAATCAGATGCCTGCACCACCTCAACAGGTTACTTTTGACGCAAAGGAGCAGTGGCTCTGCTATGCTCCATCAGAACTCCTCTGAGACAGGGATCTCTAAGGCTCAGCTCAGCCACACTACAGCGAAAGCTCATCTCGGCATCTTCTATCTGCAATCCTATTCTTTTGGTTACTACCCAGAGCTCAAGACCATCAGTGAAGTTCAGAACTTCGATACATTGGTAAATATAAAGCTTTGCTGTCTGGTTCAGCCTCTTCTTCCTCACAGTGGTCGTACACATATTGCTTCTCGTTAAGCATGCTCTGCTCACTTGTTAACACGAGCCTGAGATACGCCTTCATTTGGGAAAGCAAATCTGCTTCTTTTCTGTAGATATCCATTTACACGTCTCTCAAACATTTGTCTCAAAAAAACATTTTGATTCACTGGTCAAAATGCTGATAATAGTCAACTTCATGAAGTCCTTACTGTCCATGAACCTCATAGTTGACAACAGATATCTTGGCATCTATGAGCTAATAAAGAACGCATGGCTACTTACATCCAGCTTCACAATGAATAGATCCAATATTGCCACTTATGTAACAGGGAGCTTTTTATCAACTAACTCAGAACTAACCAACACAGGACTGATTCAGTGGTGCTGTGAGAGGGGGGCCGACAGAAGTCAAGATAAGGATAACTGCTGGGTTTCATAGTGTAGCTGCGACACGTGGAAGAGGAGCAACGTGAAATCACTAAGGAGGAAAAACATTGATGGGAGAAAGAGAAGGGGGAGAGCATTCATTGGTGACCGACAACAGGAGGAAAACCACACCCTTCATAGACTTTGTGACACACACACACACACACACAGTAATTACCAAGAAAAGCCAGTGCCTCTTTATTATTCCTGAATCCGACATGTGTCATAGCAGGGAAATACTGGAGGTGACCTCACATGCTGAACTGCTGGGAAAATCACCTCATCTCATTTTTCTTGCCATGAATCAATGGACTTTATATGATTCTGTCATAGAATGTGTATGACATGCAAATGGGTTAGGCATTTGCATTTGATTCCATTGAATGTGTGTGTGTGTGTGTTTAGGACTGTTTAACACTTTCTAACACTGACCTTGTCAGGACCAGTGGACCTGATGACAAGGACTAAGCCCAGTCCTAATGAGGCAAAATGTCAAAACTGAGATCCTGACTAAGGTAAGGAACAAGGTTTAAGACAGGCTGTCCACAAGGAATGGAAGTCAATATAAAATAAGGATAGCTGCGCAAACCTGTGTGTGTGTGAGATTGTGTGTGTGTGTGTGCGTGTTTGTGCGTGTGTGGCAGCAAAGCTCAATTGGCATTGGGATCAGGTATTCTCCTGCTGATTGATGCCCCACTAGGAATTCACAAGGACAACTGCTGATAAGAGGGGGATGAGGAAAAATACAGTCCTGCTTGGAAAAAAAAAAAAAAATCCCTTTACGCACCAGAAGACTGTCTGCTCCTGAGTGGGATTTCACGTCAAGTTTTTAGTTTCTTTTGTTTTTTCGAGCATTGCTGAATCAGAGCATTTGACTAAAAAACAACCCTGCCTATAGTGGTGAAATCCACTTTGGTTGCAGCTAAATCGTGATTGCAGATGACGTCAATCTTTTGGGCAAGTTCGCTCTCTGATATCAATCCAGCTTT